ATATAAGAACATAAAACAAAATTTAAATAATATTTGGTGCACTTTAAAGTGCACATTAAAAAGTATTTAAAAACTCAGTGCCAAAGTTCTTGAAAGTCAGAGTCTATGTTTTATTCTCCGTGTAACACCCCATGCACTTAGCAGGGGATAGAGACTTATTCAATATTAATTAAATTAATATTAATGATCAAAAGTGGGTATGGATAGGAAATTCTTAGAAACTATAGCCAATCAATATCACAAGTAAAAATACTTCAAAAATAAAATGATTCTGGCTTGAAGAAAGTCTGTTATAAATACAGTATCTTAGTAAAACACAGAAATGTATTTTTTAAAATAATTACTTTGCAGTCAATACACAGAATCAGATTATGGGGGGAAAACAATGAAATGTTCCAGTGAACACACAGGACTTCAAAAATGGCAATGTTTCTATTCTTTTCCCCACACTGGCTAACAAATCAATACTTAATCTAAATTTAAAGATATAAATACCTTCAATTTTTTTAAAGCCAACCTGGGAAATAAGTGGCTGACTGATTCTCTTTCTCTCAAGGTTGAACACAGAAGCTATTCTTGGAAAGAATCTAATAACCTACTTTCCCTCTTGGATCTTTCATGACATTCAAGTTAAGAATCTTGAGGGTTAAGCTCTGTCAAGAAGACAAGAAGCCTTTTTAAGAGCTAACTAGTCTTTACCAAGGACCTCATGTCATTCTAAGTGAAAAAAAATTAGACAGAGTTATCTAGTATGCATCACTAGACTGAATGCTTTGAACAACCAAGCTTTCGTGCTGCGTTCACCACAGTGTAAGTGTTCTGAAGAAGAGATTTTTATCTGTTCACTGCTGTATCTCTAGTGCCTGGGAATAGCACCTGGTACATAAAAGGCATACAACATGTATCTCTTAAGTGAATAAATGAATTTGATAGATGCTCTTCATTTTAAGTTTAATGTAATTAGTAACAGTCATTCTGATGAAAAAAATGATAGAGGCAAGAGGAAAGGAAAGGCAGAGGCAGTTTGGGCCAGGAGTCCTGGTTAAGGCCAACTTTAATATTGGAAGGGGATCATTAAGAATGCGTGAGGGTCAGGACAAAGGAAACAGTCCAGAGTATATGAATCTCCTTTTACCAGCTTCCTTAAATTTCCTATTTCTTTATTCACTGTGCCTCCTGGTGAGTCCATTCTTGCCTAAATCTTAGGTAACAAACTCCTCAGAGTTCACGTAGCTGATCGCCTAGAAGGATCATTTAAGGTGTAGACTGACTATCTGCCACTGTTCATCAGCTATGTCTCCCAGAGTATTCAGGCTCCCAGTTCCTGTGTGCTACAGACATGAGCTTTGACTTAAGGTCTGTTCTGTTTAGGAGGGGAAATGAAGTCCCAGTTCGATTACCTAAATAAACAAAAATACCTACCTCATAGCGTCCCCGTTCTTAGATGCCTCTTTCCTATTTTTGATTGAATTTTCCCTAATACTTGCTTCACAAAGAATGCCACATGTGAGACAGCAGAAGTCACCTTACTGCTTCTCAGTGTTTGTCTGTATGTAAATCTACCACCCTTGATACTTCTTAGTAGAAGTGTGCCTGCTGTCTGGGCTACTTTAGAGGAAGTCTTAGAAAATCACTGCTAAAACATCGTCTGACTCAGACTGGTGGTAACAAGGGAGATGCTTCCGTGCCTAGGAGGCTATTTCACGAGCATTTACTAAGTGCCTGGTAAGTGCTGAATAATGTGCTAGAGTGTGGGGATGCATCCTAAACCCAGAAGGTGCAGGGTTCCTGCCTTCAAGGTGCTAATGTTCTAGCTCAGAATTGTAAATTTGCTTTATTATCATCTTCAAAATATACCCTTTACTTGAAACACTAAATGCATTGTATCAAACAACATAACTCATAACTAGTTTTAAAAGATGATGCCTCACTAAGATTGAGGGTAATAAACAATCAATAGTAACTTGGAGCCACTATAATCCATACTTGCTTTACTCTGGGGCGGCTTCTCATCCACTCTTTTCTTGCAGAAATATCCCTATGAACTCTGAGACTTTCAGTCAACGTGGCATCAAAGGCCCAGACATCTTCTCACAGGTATTGACTATGACGTCCCTATCGTGACAGTCACGGGCTTCCACACTCAGCCAATCGGGAGCACTCTGCACTGTCTCTGCATCGCTAGGCCCCCTGCTTAAGCACAGCGAGGGGAGGAAAGAGGGGGCTCATACACAGCATATCAAGACAGGGAGCTTCGCTGTAACCCCACGATCATTCTAGTCCGAAGTTCTCATTTTACAGAAGACCATCACTATAAAAAGACAAGGATCTGCCCTCCCGTGTCCCTCAGCCATGGCTATTATTTTAACTGTACCAGCTGCAGACCATAAATAGACAGACTGGGGCCCACAAAAGGCATATCTTCACAATGAGGAGGTGTTCCTCAACAGAAGTTCTCTAGTGAAGAGTCTCTTGACTTGCCTTTCCATTTTGTTTTGTTTTGCAGACTTTTGTTTCTTAGGACACCTGTACTAGGCCCTCCTCTTTTCAATAAAAAGCAGGTGTCCAGCAAGGCTTTCTTGGATAGAAATTGATAGTCCCTCTTAACCAAGGCTTGTGACTAGTCCCATTCTTACTGGAGAGCCAAGGCAATCAGGGAGAAGATGGGAGGTGGGGAGGGATGCAGAGAAAGGGAAGGCTCCACCAGAGCTACGGCAGGGACAGCTGTCACCTCAGGACTGTGCTGTGAATGCCTAGAGCTCTCCCTCTGTATCCTGCCCACTTATCCTTCAGCGCGTTCTTTACTCCCCGGGGACAGGAACCCCTCACCTCCTGTGTGCACTCCCACCTCAGTCCCCGCTCCTTAAACTTTTCTTTGAATACTTTCATATGAGTCGGGGAGAATTCTGAGATTGTTTTCCCACTTACATTTTATAGTTGATGTTAAAGGTACTTGTCAAATGTATTTAAAAGATTATTTTTAGGATTTAATTTAAGTATTATTTTTAAGTAGAGAAAAATACCATTCTATCTTCTAGACACTGTACACAGCATTTGAAAGAGGAACTGAACTACCATAATTTTACCTTTGATTCTCTTACATTAAGCTGTTTAAGTTTCTAGTCCATATTAAACTATTACAAAAATAGAAAAGAAGCACATTTGAAGGAGACAAAAGTACATAATATATAATATAAAACAGGTTAATGAAATATATGCTGAACAACCACGTATCTTGTTTATAGTCATGTCTCCAGTGTGAAATAAATGTGTAACATTGAAACGTGTTTCCATCTTGAAACAGGTTTACAATTATGTCACAGCTGAAGTAAAACTACAATTAAAAAAAGATAAAACATGTTGCATTTGTGCTCTTTGCTCATTCTGGAAACTATCTAGGCACATTCCCGCCATCATAAATGGCTCCCTACATACGTTCTCACAAGTTTTCACTCCAGTGAAGACCCAGGATCCAAACGATTCCTGAATGGCAGTCAAACTCTCATCAGCAAGCCAGTCAAAAGATTTAATAGCTAACATTTAAGGTTTCATAGACTTCTTTCCAAGCAGTTAAAGGAGCAGTGTGATGTTAATTAAATCAAAATTTATTCTTTGCTTTTATTAAAACTAAGGAGTTAC